TCATCGTCAAATTAGGGAAAACTTCACAAACTAAAAAGGATGAGAGGTGGGTGATGGTAGGAGGAAGAAGAAGAAGAAGAAGAAGAAGAAGAAGAAGAAGAAGAAGAAGAAGAAGAAGAAGAAGAAGAATTAGGGCAAAGTTGGCAAACGTTTTCTTTCAGAAGAAGAAGAAGAAGAAGAAGAAGAAGAAGAAGAAGAAGAAGAAGAAGTAGAAGTGGGGATGACAATGCATGAGAGAAGAAGAAGAAGAAGAAGAAGAAGAAGAAGAAGAAGAAGCGGAAGGAAGGAAAAATTAGGGCAAACTTTTTCTCAGAAGAAGAAGAAGAAGAAGAATGAAATCATTAGGGCAAAGGTCAGGCTACCGATTGTTTCAGACGAAGAAGAAGAAGAAGAAGAAAAAGGTGGTGGAAGCTTTTCTCTCCCTATCCGGCTGTCGATCTCTCTCTCTCACACACACACTGACCGGAGGAGGCAGAAAGCGGCAGCCTTTCTTGAATGCCGCAACGCAGGAAACTTGCTGAGGAAGAATGCCGGCTATGTCATGTTGAAGACCCTCCACATGAGAACCAGGTGAGTGGACGACTCCACCTCACCTCAGCTGACATCAAGCTCCCCCACCCTGCCCGTGTCTCACTGCTCCAACACACCTGCCCTCACTCTTCTCACCTCCCCAGGCAACGCGGCTGCCCACACTCACGGCTGCCTCCAATGCCACCGCAGGAGAATGAGAAGAGTGTGGGCAAGCACAATCTATAAATTGCCGCCGGCCGGGGAAAAGGCAGTGTTGGCGGTCGGCAGCCTCCCAGGCCGTGCCCCGATCAGCCGACCACCCCGGTGCTGGCTAGAAAGGCCGAAACTGGGCCTACGGGGTGCGGGTGGCCGCCGTGCAAAATTGCGGCAGGCCGACCACCGCCGATCAGTCGGCGCCGACCGCCGGAACGGTTGGCGGGTCGGCACCCGACCGATCGATGGCCTACGACCGTCGGCGGGTCCGACACTGGTGGGCACCCATGTTTTTTTAGTTGGTGCTCAGACTACGATCAGAGGTGGTGACTTTAGTGGGTTTGGCAGAAATCATTTCACCTTGGCCGTGCGATCAACTATTGTAGGAGGGGTGATTTTTTTGTTTTTCCCCCGAAAGCAGGTAATCCATCTTGACCGTGCGATCAACTAGGAAAGGTTGTTGGGGGGTGTTTTTATTTTCTTGGGTTGATGTTTGTTCATTTTGCGGGTACGCATAAATGCGGGGGACGTGTGTGCGAAAGATGATAATGTGTCTGTCCTAACTTCTAAGTTCTCACACTATTCTCTTGCACTTTTCTGACATGTGTGTGATGTCAGTCAAAGTTTCCATGTGTGCAAATCTGATGCAAAATCAAAGCCTGTCTGCACTGCTCCAGAAGTTCCCAGGGCCTACTTGTCCTAAGCACACATTGGCCGATAGCAAATCTGGGCCATCCAGATCGAGAATCTCCACCGTTGTAGGAGGCACACTTGTCAACTCTACAAAAGAGTTGACTGGCCCAGAGGCCCATTCACTCTGCCTTGCACAAGCTGGTGGCCAGAGTGCTGCTGGGTGAGGTTGTGAAGGGAGAAGGCTGGCGCCAGAGAGAGAAAGACAGCGCCAGCGCAGGATGAGAGAGATAGAGTGTAGCCATAGCTAGGAAGGGTGCCTGAGCGCCATAGCTGTAGCTTGGTGGTAGGGCTAGGAAGGTTTTTGGTAGTGATACTGCCATTAATCGGGACTGTGAGGAGAGAGAGTGAGAGAGTGTGGGAAGCTTACCTTGACTTACCTGTGCGGTGGTGATACTTAAGCTGCTGTTCAGACAAGGAGACCGAAGGAAGGCGGGTGCCAACCTCCTTAGCCAGCATTGATGCTGACACCTGCAGAGAGACTTCATCAGTGTCTTCAGGGGAAGGCTTGCATGCTGAGGTGGCAACTTGGTGGGAGAAGGTCCTGGAAGTGAAGAGGGGTTGAAGAGCCGTTTCTCTGTCTCTCTCAATCACTTCTCTACCTCTGTCTCACGTCCAGTGACGCACTGATTATTCTGGGACTACATTGAGATCTTCTTGTCTTGTTCTTTTTTTTTTTTTTTTGGACCATTTCTCGGTTTTTGCGTGTTGTCCTTGCGCAGGGGCCATGCTAATCTTCTCTGTATCTTTTCAATTTTATTGGATGTCCCGAGGGACACTTCTTGACTTATTCTGCATTGTGATGGGCTCCATTTTATGTGCATTGTGACCACTTGCTTGATCGTGTTCTGGAAACTTCTTATGATTGGGGGGCTCATTGCATCCGTGTCCGGTTGACGTGGAATTTGTGGACCGGATGTGGGCATGCGATCTGTACATCTCCACCCCTGCTATGATTTAGCGGAATGTGCAAAACCTTGAGATGTGGAACTCCACTCTTGAACGAGCAAGATGTGCTTGGGGCTTCAGAGGAGTAGTGCAATTTGCGCTGCCAGCAGCAGTCATCGAAAGTAGAATTACAAAGCCAACTTAATCAAGAGCAATCCAAATGAGCAGACACTCACAGCAAAGTCTCTTGATAAAGATGGACCGACTTCTCACCACCTTTATCAATACAATAACAAAGTAGTAGTTCTACAATGGTGTGCCCGCCTGTACTACTGTTACATGTTGCGCCTGCACACGGGCCCTGTTTGAGGGGCCCCCAGGCCGCATGCCCATCAGACATGCGGCCTGGAGGCCCACGGCGGCCCCCAGGCCGCAGATTTCACATATAGGCGGCATTTATTTATTTATTTACTTACCTGCTGTCCTATTTTGGTCTGTGCAGACGTCGTTTCGGAAGTCCCCAAGGCACGACCTTGGGACTGGGTACACCAGAGGCAGGGCCTAAAGAGGCCAGGTGCGTTTTTGCGCCTTGCTGCATCAGCAGCACAGTCTGGATGCCTGGTAGGGACCCAGACCGGCTGGGCCATTTTTGAGGCCAGCACCAGGCAGGCCCAGCGGCCCCCAGCACTACATATAGCTGGGCAGCGGCTGGGCAAAGGACAATTCAGTAGCTCACTTCTCGAGCGATATGCTGCTGGATGGAGGCTGGGCTATTTTAGCGCTGCGCAGCAAGGCTGTAAGGAGCTGCATAGGTGGGAGTGAGAGGCGGAGGCCATACCGGTAGTGGCGAACTTACCTGGCGCAATAGCTGGGATCTCCACGCGGTACCTGCACAGGACAACCACGGCAGTCAGTACGGCGGCCGTTACCTGCAGGTGAGGTAGCGAGGAGGGTGACATCTTCATCTCCCTTCTCGCCTTCCATCTCTCCTTCTTCCTCCTCCTTCCTCGTCCCTCCTCCTTCATCTTCTTCTTCTTCTTCTTCAGATATGAGAGAGAGAGAGGTTACAGGCAGAGGATACAGGCAGAGGTTGTGGTGGGCATTGTGCCCAGGATCTGATGCGGCATTTCTGAGGCGGACATTGATTGGGCATCGGCAAGGGACTATTTTTGGACTTCGCTATTGCGATCTTGGTCGCCTCCCTCGCCTCCATCTTCGTCTCTCCTCTTTCCCCATCTCTCCTCTGTGGTAACTTCCCATGTGCGTGTACAAGGAGGGACCTTTCTTCTTTGTGTGCGGTCCCTCCTCCTCTTCTCACATGTGTGATGTATGATGGGATGTCGTGTCAGTCCCAGTCAGGTCAGGACTTAAAGTCTTCCACTGTGCTACTATGTGCCATTTTGTATGTATCAGGGTGTACATTGCTTGTTGATGTTCCACTGACATTGCATTGTTCATTCAGTCCTTTTCATCATATTGCGGGTCCTTGGCTCTACCTACCTTGCCCAACTGGGCATGTATCAACTACCATCGTACTCACTCACTACGCACAGCCGCTCCTCTCGTTCTCTCTCTCCCACTGTACTGTCCACTGTCCACTAGCCCAACAATGTTGCTGAGTCTTGGCCACCCAAGTGTGCTCTTCGGCCATCGCCCGGTAAGTCCTGCTGTTCCCACCGCTGTCCTCCTCCCCTGATCACCCCAACACCAGCACCCCTTCTTTCCCTTGGCGCAGGTATGACTGCCACCAATGAGGACCAGCTTCGGCCGGGTAAGTCCTGCTGTTCCTGCTGTCTGTGTCCCCTGATCACCCCAGCACCAGCACCCTTTCTTACCCTTGGCGCAGGTATGGCTGCCACCAGTGAGCAGCAGCTGCCCATGGCTGCTACCCCCCTTCTTCGTCGTCAATGTTCAGGGGCCTGCCAGTGTGCGCTTGCTTCAGAGCTGGCACTGGCAGCCAGTGCCTCCAAACGTGTGGAATGCTGCGGCTTGTGTTCCTTTTGTCACTTCTGGAGGTCGCGGCAGCCTGGCTGGTACTGGACTCGCACCAGTCTGGGAACGTCCTGAGAAGCTTCCAGACTGGTACCTGGGCATCAGCCTCTTCAACTAAGTGTGAGGCTGGACCTACGAGTTAGTTGGAGAGGGTGCGTCGAGTCTTCCTCCCGACTACCTCGTGCCAGCCTCCCCAGAGGCCCTGGCACTTTTCCCAGCCCGGCTTTCACTCAGGGCCGGGTCCTTTCTCCACAAGCGGGCCCTACTGGGTGCCACTGGGCCTGAAGCCTGGCAACTTGGCTTTGTTCATTTGTCAATCACGCCCAAATCCTGTTTGTTTGTTTTTTCCTTCCCTCTTCTTTCCCAAAACATTCAGCATTTGGTTTCTTTGGCTTCGTTTGTATGCCGATCACACCCAAATCCTGTATTCCCCCCCCCCCCCCCCCCCCCCCCCCGCCCCCTTCTTTTTCCGTCACCAGTTTTACCACACCGAACATCTGACTTGCAAGTATGCTGGCAACCTGATTCAAGAGTGTGATAATTGAGAATGTTGAATTGTTCAACTCCAGAACAGTGGTGGCTTTCGGCGGCCGTATAGATAGTTTCATTTTTTCGCACGGGCTCTCTGGATTTCCATCTTCTAAACGATCGTTTTTCTGTTTGTTTTTTTCCCTGGAATGTTTGTACACTTTGTTTTTCTATTGCAGGGCCCGCTCCAGATTGCCAAGAAAGATGGATCTACTGTGACACTCTGTGTTGTTGAGGTTTGTTACCGTCCCGTCACCTCACAGTGCCCTGTTTCTCCCTCCTTTCAATTCAAGGGGACAGCTCATTGCAAGTTCTGAGAAGTTTCAACGTTCAGCAATTTCTCACTGGCCAATCTTCTTGGGCTGTTCAGGTTTCTTCCTGATCTGTCAGTGCAAGTCCTTCAAGCGGTCTTGCTGCAGCTACACTTCTTATAAGCTCAGTGCCTTGGTAATTGTTCGGATGTTCCCAAACTCCCAGTGCACCTGACAACCCCCAGAATTTCAGTGATAAACAAGGGGGGCACATACACAATTGGTGCCACGGTCTGGCGAGGCTAGGATCAGGCCAAAATGGAGCTGTCACGTGGGGGAAGGAATATACCGTAGATGACAAGGAACCAACCACATCACCCACGCTAAGTAAAACCTGGGTGTCGATGTGGCTCTGCTCGGCAACACAGTGCCTGCTCAGGAGCACTAACCTTCCTGGAAAAATCAGACAGGTTCATTCTGCCAGGTTTGGATATGCAGGGAAGGTTTGAACTTTGAAGTCAGTCTGAAAGTTCTGAGAAATCAGGTTGTGAACCTTTCAGCTGAATGGCACTGGATGATAACATACGAGGAGCGTCAACTTAATTGTCCATGGGTTTTCCACTTGGGGATGTAACTCACATTGAACGTGATGGACGTATGAAGAAGAACACATGGTGGGATTACATTTGTGGGGCATCACTGTGGCATGCCACTGTGTGGATGGGAAAATGATTTAGTTAATTTTAGCCCTAAAATGATTTCAACCTACTGCAACGTAGGGAGAGTGAATAAGTTTGAACGAAAATAATGAAGAAACTGGGCTACTGCCAAACGGAGAAGGATGCTTTGTCACTCTCAGAATTTACCTTTTGGTGTTTGTCGGGGCGATAGGGAAGAGCTCACTTTCTGTAAGGGCGAACAGGAGAAAGGGGGATAATCAAAATACTTGAATACACTAGTATAGTGTATTCTTTTGAAACTTCCAGCTGTACCCCATCCATATGACAGTGAGTTAAAAGAAAAACAGTATAGCTAAAATATTGGCAAGGAGACGGCAATCCAGACAGTCTGCCATCTGTTGCCCAGGCGCAACAGATATTTCTGACCGCCTGTCATGACTGAAACACCTCAGATTTGGAGGAGGCAATGGCTGCAGGTACCGGCAGTGGCCTGTAGGATGGTGGACGATCCTGTTGTGACACACTTTTGCCAGTCATGACTGAAGCCCTACTAGACCTGCAGAAGGCTACCGCCGCAGGTAACCACTGCATTCGGCACTGGGCCATATCATGATGGAAGATCATATGACCACACACTTTTCTGGCAACTGCAGGCCCTGGGTGGCGGTTAGCTAAAAGTGTTATGCGGAGGGGTGGAGGGGGGTGGGGGACATTGGCCTGGGTGAACCAACTGGCCCAAAAAGTGGCTGAACTTTTGTCTTTTATTTCTCCTGACTGCAGCCGAAATAAGGCAGTTGGGCCAGCGGCCTAGCTCTGTTGGTAGAGCACCCAAGTGCCATTCAGGATGCCGTGGGTTTGATTCCCCACGGCCTTCTGTGGCACACTTTGACATCACCAGCTGAGATAAGTGGTTGCCCCCCCCCCGGAGACACTGTCATATTACACAGAGGTTATGAGCCTGGGTACTACTCCCCGCACAGAGTAGAGGATTCAACCTGGAGGGACTTGGCTCAACTCTGCGGGGGCCTGGGGAGCTGCGAACCCATGACGCTCAGCGTCCATCCCATATGGAAAACATTACATAAAGAGTTCCTGGGTAGCTAGTTGAGGCTATCTCTTTTTTTTTCCTTTTTCTTTTTTTCTTTTTTTTTGGGGACAAAAGGTCCAATCTATTCATGGGGAGCAGCACGTGCTGGGAACCGGGCCCAGCGCCCCATCACTACAGTTTTTTTTCCAATACTAGGATAACCCCAAGGAGTAAGGGGTCTTTTTCTTCCAATGGATGCACGACCTTCTCCTCCTCCATGAGGGTGGTCTACTGGATTCATTGCTGTGCCTCGTACTTTAGGCCGTTTACCTTGCCAGCGATATATAATTATCGCTAAGTTCCTGCCTGTGACAAGCGGACGATCGGCGCCCTCAATACATATATAATTATCGCTAAGTTCCTGCCTGTGACAAGCGGACGATCGGCGCCCTCCGATATTTTGCTGCGCGACGGTCCCGATCGTCTGCTGATCGTTTGACATAGAAGTTGAAGCGTCGCCAGGGCCAGTACCGGTCCTGCACGCCAGTGCTAGCGCCACGTTTGGTACCGGGCCATGCTAGCATCGATACTGTCGGACGTTGCCCGCGCCAAGCGGCGACACGTAACAAACTTTTACCAATTTTGGGAGGCGGTGCGGGAAAAACTGCGTGGCCCCACACCGTGCCTGCCCTCCAATCGACTTCGACTTTCATACCCTACCGTAGGCCACAGCGCTCAACTTCGACTGACTTCTACGCTGCTATGCTCGACGACTGACTTCTACGCTGCTATGCTCGACGACCACTTCGCCCTACGTTGGACACACGCACACGCACAAGCACACGCACATGCACACGCACAAGCACGCACACACACACACGCACAAACGCACGCATGCACGCACACACACACACACACACACACACGCACACACACACGCACACACACACGCACACACACACACACACACACACACACACACACACACACACACACGCAC